AACGTCAGGATACCTATTGCTGAATTACACCTTGTTATGATCAACTATCATAGAATAGGTGCGCATAGGGTACATTCCATTCTATGAAGTGTAAGATCAGACAATATCCAATCTTGAGGGGACGCTTTCAAAGGTTGGAGGGAGAGCCAAAGCGCCTGGATCCGAAGATCCGGCACTACGCGTCAATACGCAGCTTGTTTGGAGGGAGAAAGATCTGCGATTTATTTATATATATCAGCGATCTCAATCCGTCAAAATGCCCACAGGACCATTTAAAATAAATCCGTTATTATATACGCGGACTCGCGCGCAAGCCGAACAAACGTTCATATCATTCGCCAAAACCCACACAAAATTCATCTGTGGTGACAGAAAATTCATTTTCAACACGAAACTCAACAACAACCGTTCCAACCCGCATATCCGATTCAACCATGGCCGCAACAGCAATCCTGCGCCAACTCTTTGTCCAAATCGGCCTGACTCAAGCCGTTGCTGACACTATTGTGGACGATCACAATATCAACAGTACCGCAACTCTGACCAAGATCAAGCCTGACACTGTCAGCAAACTTGTCAGGACCCTTCGACACCCAGGAGGCGGTGGGGATGGCCACGCAATCCCGTTCCAAGTGCAGCAAGACATCACTGATGTTTCATGGCTCCTAAAACACCGTGTCCGCACCTCTCGCGATCCAGCTATTCCGACCATTGGCCTCCCTGTCCTAACTGACAAACTTGAGATCTACAGAGATCATGAAGAGCAATGGACCGAACCAAGCTCCCTCGATATCAAAATCACCCGCAACGACTGGAACAAAATGTTCCGTACCATTGAAGAATCCCTTACAAACTTCAAAGGAGTCCACGGTTGCCCTTTGAGCTATACTATTTGTGTCGCAACTGCCATCCCAGCTGATCCGGATCCATCAACCGATTATGCATCAATTGAGAACAAAATTATTGCCCGTGCTCCTATTGTCAACGCCCAAGGAGACTTTGTTGCCACATTCCGCACTGACAATACCACCCTCTGGAAACTTTTGAGTGCGCTATTCAAAGACACTGTTGACTGGACTGACATCAAGCATTGTGCCAGAACAAAGGACGGAAGAACTGCATTTCTTGACCTAAAATCCGCACGGCTTGGGGCCCAATACACCAACAATGTCTCAGCCGAAATTGAGAGACGCTGGTTAGCTTTATCCTACGCAGGACCAAAACGCAACTGGAAGTTTGACAATTACGCCCGCAACCACAAGGAATGCTTCCTCCTCCTTGCCGAGCTTGATGACTACCAAGAACCTGACGAGCGAACCAGAGTCCGCAAGCTTATAGATCAGATTGTCACTCGAGAGCTCGACACAGCTATTAACATGATCATCGCTTCCCCAACCATGGGGACCAGCTTTGACAAATCGGTCGCTCATATCAAAGGGTTCATTGGCAACAGAGAAGATACCCTCGTCCTGGGCAAACGATCACGTGATGGAAGACACACTGCCTCGGTCGACACCAGGCATAGACCCCCAAACAAATGGCATGCAATGCCTAAAGACGAACGGAACGCAATCATGGAAGAACGCAAACGAAAGAAGCGCAAACTTGAAAATGGCACCAAGAAAGACAAGACAACTCCCAAGGATTCTGGAGCAGGCAAGAAAACTGACAAGAAAAATGGCGGAACTACTTTCAAAGAATTGAAACGCCGTATTGCCGAGCTTGAATCCAAGGAGTCTGCCCGGACACCGGGTAGCAATGACAACAATGACCAGACTGGAGGCAACGCTTCTGGTAATGCTGCCAACGGAAACCGCACCAACCCTGCGCTAAACCGTGGCCAACCAGGTGATAACAACTGAAGCCAGCCCCGAATTGTCCAGCTTCGCACCATCAGCGCCATCCGGACTATTGCAATTACCCAGACCAGCCCGCTTGCAGAAGAGACCACGCTAGAACTGGACTCCCACGCTGACACCACTTGTGTCGGATCCCAAGCGATGATCGTCTCGCGCTCTGGAAAGGTTGTGGATGTCTGTGGCTATGATCCTTCCACCACTAGCCGCCAACTTGAGGTTGTCACTGCTGCTATTGCATACGATCGACCAACCACCGGTGAAACCATCATCCTCGTCCTCCATCAAGCCATCCATGTCCCGAATATGGACCACCATCTTTTGAGCACAATGCAATCACGGACAAACGATGTTACCATTAATGACCGCCCAAAATTCCTTACTGCCTGCCCCAATGACAACGACCACTGCATCCTTGCCCCATCTGACGATCCCGACAATATTACCCGCCTCCCGCTACGCATCCACGGCACCATTTCCTATCTAAATGTCCGCAAGCCCACCGCCGCCGAATACGCCAACTGCGAACATGTCTCCCTCACCGCCGACGCACCCGACTGGGACCCCCGCACCACCAAATACCAACTTGTTGAAGACTCTCTGGTCGACAATGCCGGAAGATTGCTGGAGAGAGGGGATCTGAAAGACCGACACTTCATTTCACCGCTCTATTCTGAACTCTCCACCAATAATCCACACATCATCTCCGAAACCATTTCCCAAGAACATGCTATCCTACACAAAATTGATCCCAGATTGAACGACCATCACTTCTCACAACAACTGAGTGACATGGTTCAAATCTCTTCTGTTTGGTCCGCATACAAAGGCCCTGCAGTTGACGCGATCAAGCTAGCACGCAACTGGGGGATTGGGATCAAAGCAGCCACAAAGACAATCCAAGCAACTACCCAACGAGGAGCTAGGACTATACTACACCCATCCCTGACCAGGAGACGACCAACAAACGATCGCTTCATCCGACTCCGACAATTAAATCACAACCTATATGGCGATCTGATGAAAGCGGATGTGAAGTCCAAGAGAATGAATGAATACGCACATATTTTTGGTGCCGACAATGGCTGGTGCCGGGCCCATCCACTTCGAACAAAAGGACAAGCACCTGAAGCGCTATCCACCTTATTCAACAGGGACGGCGTTCCACCGGCCTTGATAGTTGATGGAGCAAAGGAGTTTGTCAGTGGGGACTATAAGAAACGTGTGCGACAAGCTGGATGTGACTTCCGCACGACTGAGCCTTATTCACCATGGCAAAACACTGCTGAAGGCACAATCAGGGAGCTGAAGAAAGACACTACACGAGTCATGCTCCGTACTGGAATGCCAAAGAGGCTATGGGATGATTGTTTGGAACTTCGGGCCTACATCCGATCTCACACCGCCCTTAACATATACAACTTGGATGGGGAGGTGCCGGAGACTGTTATGACTGGACAGACTGCAAACATTGGTCCATGGTGTGATTTCCAATGGTATCAGTGGGTAAAATACTACGATGAGACTGCAAAATTTCCTGATGATAAGATGTCTCTTGGACGATACTTGGGACCAAGTCCTGGAATCGGATCCCTCTTGACTGGAAAGATACTTAAGCACAACGGGAATTACCACCACACCTCAACCTTCAGAGCCCTAACATCCGAAGAAATGGCTGACGACGTCAAGAAACGCCTACATAATGACTTCAATACCAATGTGAATGACAAGTTGGGTGACAAGGCAAAGCCTGAAGATTTCAGTGAGGACGATCTCACCCCTACATATGATCGTTATGAGGATGACTCTGGAGAAGGATTGGATCTAATGCCTGACAGGGATGAGCAACAGCTCGACTACTATGATCGATACCTCAATGCTGAAGTGCTGCTTGCTAGAGGGGACAAGATGGTAACTGGAAAGGTCACTGGACGAAAGAGGGAAGCAGACGGAAGTCTTAGAGGAAATGGGCATGCTGTCCCCATGCTGGACACTCGCACGTCTACCGTTGAATTCCCTGATGGGGCTGAAGCCACTTATGCAGCAAACGTACTTGCTGAGGGAATGTACCTGCAATGTGATGAGAACGGCAATCAATTCCTCCTGCTCGACTCCATCATTGACCATAAGACAGACAAAACTGCAATCCAACCTGGCAACGACAGATTCCGATACCATGGACGACTTGTCCAGAAACGTACCACAAAAGGATGGCAGCTTTGTGTCCAATGGAAGGACGGTACCACTACTTGGGAGCGACTGTCTGATCTCAAGGAATCTTTCCCCAGTGAGGTTGCTGAGTATTCCGTCGCAACTGGAATAGATCACCTACCTGCATTCAAGTGGTGGGTTCCATACATCTTGAAGAAACGAAATGCAATCATTGCCAAAGTCAAGAGCCGATACCACAAGCGAACACACAAATGTGGCATCAGAATTCCCAAGACAGTCCAAGAAGCCCGTGAACTTGATCGAATCAATGGCAACGACTTGTGGGAACAGGCCCTTGGGAAGGAGATGAGCAATGTTCGTGTGGCTTTCAAGATGCTCAACGAGGAAGACAAAGCACCAGTTGGGCACACCAAAATCAAGCGCCATATTGTTTTTGATATCAAAATGGAAACCCTCCGCCGAAAATGCCGACTGGTTGCTGGTGGCCACATGACTGAGGCACCATGCCCTAGCGTAACTTACTCAAGCGTTGTATCTCGTGAATCTGTCCAAATTGCTCTAACACTTGCCGCTTTAAATGCATTGGAAGTCAAAGCTGCTGACATCCAGAATGCCTACTTGACAGCGCCTCTTGTCAGTGAAAAGATTTGGACAGTTTGTGGCCCTGAATTTGGGAAGGACGAAGGCCGCCAAGCTATTGTTGTACGCGCATTATATGGATTACGGGCCGCTGGACATGACTACAGAACATTCCTCTCGGAGTATATGCAAAATCTGGGATAGAAACCTTGCTTGGCCGACCCTGACGTATATTACATGCCAATGACAAGACCTGATGATATTCCGAAAAAACAAAAATACAAAAGCAACACGCATATCCGGGTCCTACAAACATCACTTTCGGTACTTCGCCTACACAATTTTTCTGTAGCGAAACGAAACTCGCTCCTCCTTTTTGCATCAAAACTGACAATGGGAAAGTCCAAGAACAACAAGAAAGTGGCAATCGCTGATAAACCTGTTAATTCTACTGCTCTTACTCAGGGTCGAGTCGAAATTCGATCAAAAAGGGAATCCGACGATTTGGACCCTCCAATCGTCAACAACAACAGCGACACCGAGATGGAGGAGGTCAAGAATCCACTGAAGTACGATCGCATCGTCCAGAACATCGATTCGTCTCAGTGGAACCTGCAAACCCTTGCCTATTTATGCACAATCCACCGTGCTCCTGGTCAACACAACAATAAAAAAGAAGTGGTCTTTGGAAACGAGCTGTTCTCGGCATGGGAGAACGAGCCCGATTTCCACTGGCCTTGGTGCGAAGGGTATTCTGAAAATTTCGTAGATCCTCCGGCGACTGAATCCTGGGAGGAAGCAGCCGAGAAGCTACTACAGATTTGTGATGGGGACTGGAACTTGGTCGAGCAACACATTCGAGCTGCGTTTGACCGAGACATCAAGGACGAATTTATTGGAAACGATCGGGAGCTCGTCGTCTATGGCCGAGGACTGATTCTTGGGCTGGCGGTACAAGATCCTCTGGTGATTTTTCCTTTGGACGACCCGATGGAGGAGACTACGTTTTTCAATCGGTATTGGGATTTTACTTTGGAGGTCGAGCCTCGTTTACTACTGGAACTACGTCCTCTGGCTAAAGTGTGGGCCATTGCGGTTGAACTTCTAGGCCACCCGTGGACCGAACCCGACACGACGACGGTAGTAACGGAATTGGCTGAGCGTCGCTCAGCAGCCAAGGGCCAAAAACGTGAGCGCGATCTGGACCCATCAACGGAACGCAAATCAGCTCCAATTGACCCTCGCTCACCTGCGCGAGGGTTCTTTCCGGATGCTACTCCAAAACCAGTTCGCGACTCTGTTGCCCCCGATAAGGATGATTCGGTGATGATGGACACAACGAGCCATCGGTAATTAGCCCCACCAATAAACTAGTCAACGGCGAGTTTGCTTATTGGTCCGACAACGATGGGTCGGAGTCCGTTCAGTCGGCTCCAGACTTTTCTGCACCATTGAATTCGGATCAACCTCCTACTGAAGTGGTTGTGGGGAAGTCACCTGCCCCAGCTCAGCGGGCCAACGACCCCTCGGCAACAGTATTGATCAACTCTTACTTGTCAAAGACTGAGCCTCCTAACCCTCCTCGACCTCCAGCTCCTCTGTCCGTGAAGAAGCAACTCACTTATATGTTGCCGCCTCACAGAAGAAGGCTGCTATTCGGACCAAGTACCTCTCTGAAGAAATGAAAGCCCGCAAAGTGACACAGATGAATTTGACTGGGCTTCCTCGCTCGAACGCCCAGTTCCTCTGCGCTACAATCAACTATGAATGGGATGGCGACACATCTGAGGGTGGGTCTATTGAAAAGTGTTTCACTGAAGAAATGGTCTCGGTTCTGTCTATGGCTATGGACAACGCTGAGGGCGACTTGGTCATTCTTCCGGTGAGCGAACTCCGTGTACGGGACAAGAAGTTGTGGCTGACCTCTAAGGAGAAAGTGGAGGAGCTCACCTACAAGAAGCTCAAGCCCTACATTGACTGGTCCTGGAATAATGGCGCCCAATTTGGCTACAACGCTAAGAACCCCGGCTCCAAGACTCTTTGCACCCGCATTCGCGTCGCCCACAATTCTTCTCTGGACGACATGTCCCGACTACTGGGTCAATGTTTCGAGATCACCGGCACGCATGCAGGCGTCTTCTGTTCCCCGCTGCTAGTTAGTGATCCTGTCCGAATCGGTTGGCTACTGAACTACCCCATGGGGATTGGGAGATCGGCACTTGAACGCGAGCTCATGCGTCACTTCACCTTCAAGAGAGCTATAGCCCTAGAACCTGCGTGGCCACAGAACCCCGGTACGGCGGGCCAAAAATGGATGCCCTCCAAGGGTCCAAAAGCGTGGCACATTTGGGTAGCTGCTTCTGACGTGGATAGAGTGGCACGGGCCCTCTTTGCATGGCTCAGGCCAGAAACAAAGAAGTGTCACATGCCGTTTGGTGCCCGGACTCAGTTTGTCTACGACTGGGGGGCCATTACGAAGGGTCACCTAGGTGACCTTGCGCAACCAGGGGGGCAGTGGAATGGCATCATTGGGAAACTCATCAACACCCATGACACTACCTCCCAGACCTGCACCTCCCTGGCTCCACTGTTTCCTATCCAAGGCATGCTGACCAAGGTCTTCATTCCCAAGTACTGCAAACAGGGCAAGGGCAAATCCCTCCTCCAATTCCTCTACGCGATTCAGTGCATACCAGCGGTCAAGAAACCTCCACCTGCTCAGCCTGAACAATCAGCCACACAGGATGCCGACACTCCAGACTCTCCATTGCCACCTTCCGTGTCTTCTACTCCTCCAGAACCGACATCGGCCAACCCAAGTGTAACTGACCCCACCACAGCTCAGCCAACTCTACCCGCCCCATCCACCAAGCGTTCCAGTCGCAAGGGGTCTAAGAATCGCCGGGCCAAGCAACCTCTTGAGAAACCTACGGAGACGCCTCAGGCTACTCCCCCCACCCCTCTTCCACGGCCTACTCCTGCACTGAAGTCTACACCCCAGTCAGCAACCAACCCTCCTACGGAGTCTTCCGCTCGGGCAAAACTTTCTGCATCTGAGCAGCCCCTGGTCACTGAGGCATTTGATCGCAGCGCATGGCTGGCGGCAATGGATGCGGAACTGAACCAGGGCCCAGCCGGTCTCTTCCAAATGATCCTACCAGGCCCAATTGATGGCTTCTATGTGTTCGTGGTGCGCCAAAAGTTTGCCTCATTGGCACAGGAAGTTCTCAAGAACCTGGTGGCCTTCCTTATTTCTCACCTTGAGTTATGGCAGGACCTGAAGCACCAGAGGAAGACATGCCGCACCTGGCTCTGCTTGGACCATTATAATCGAACGGTTACCAACGCTATGATCTGGGACCAAAGCCAACATCGTGCAATCTCGGAGTATGAGCGGGACGTCGATTTGGACCAGCAAGTGGAGAAGGATGATAATGAGTGGATTGAGAAGCTCCTCGCGGCAGAGCAGGCTTCTCCGGAATTTGAGGGCACCATCACGATTGACCTGTCGATGCCAGCTGCCAAGGATATGGATGACGGGGCTACAGTAGGCAGCGCGGCAAATATGGCAGCACTATTGGAGAACATGAAAGCGGATGTCAACGACGTTTGCACGGAATTAGAGACTGCGGCGGAAGAACTGGCTCAAGCTAAGGATGCGGAGGCTGCCATGGATGCTCGTATCCTTGAATTGGAGGCCAAAATGGCGGAACAAGCATCGGTCACAGGCAAGCACCGTTCGTCAAGCCCCTCCTCCAGCAAGGCAACATCATCGGCTGACAGTGGGGGTGGCCCCCCCGGCGGTGGTCCCTAACCACCAACGGTGCCGTCACGCAAGGTTGCGACGTTTGACGGAAGGCCGAGGTCAAAATCTACGCAACCAACACACATCCAGCTAGGTGGCCCACTCCTCGCTGGATGCTTATTTAAACTCTCTCCCTCCCGGTAACTACTTCGGCGATGACTCACGCCAGAAGTCTCCTCACGTTACCCGGGTCCATTTTCAAAATGTTCAGGGTCTTCCATTTCCCATGACACATGAGAAACAGAAAGGGCTCGTCAAGTGTTGGACTGATGAGAGAGTGGGCATTACATTGCTGGCTGAAGTTAACCTTCAATGGTCAGCAGTGCCCAGAGGACAAAAGTGGTTTGATCAGGTCAAGTCCTTCACTGACCAGGGACATTTCTCTTCAGTGTCTTACTACAAACACCAGGAGTTTCCAACTCCCTCGGCGCATCAATGGGGCGGATGTTCTGCTACATTACTCAACAAGGTCGCGCGCCGTGCAAAGTCACGCGGCAAAGATGAGACAGGGCTAGGCAGGTTCTCTTGGATCAAGATCCGGGGTAGGGACATCCGACAACAGGAGTCTCAGACTGATGGGCCCCCGGCTGGTCCTTTAGATCTTGTGGTGGTCTCGGCATATCGTCCGAACAAGGAAGGTACCAATGCTGGTAGTGTTTGGAACTATCAACGGAATTACTGGCTGAGCAAGGGGGTGACTATGGATCCCCGTGACAAGCTCACACTGGATTTGGTGGACCTGATCAAACAATGGAAAGCGGAAGGGTGTGAGATTCTCCTTGGGTTAGATGCAAACGAAGATGTCTCCTACAACTCTCCCTCTTCCTTCCGCCAAGAGATGCGGTCAGAAGGCCTGACCGAGGCCATCTTACGCCGACATCAGGGCCCTTACCCAGCAACAACCCAAAGTCGGACGACGGATACTCCCATCGATGGTATATTTGTGACCGACAGCGTCCGTGTAACTGCAGGTGGATACTTGGACTTTCAGCAGTATTTTAAGTCGGACCACAGGGGACTCTGGATTGACATTGACCTGGAAGCGACTCTGGGGGCCCCAGCGGTGACCTCTCCTTCCTTCCAACCACGTCGAT